GTATTTTTATTTTGTATTTTATTTTTATTATTATTTTATTTATTTTTAAATGAAATGAAATGAATAAATGAACACATGAAAAAAAATGAATGAATGAATAAAAGTGAGAAAAACCATTCTAAAAGTTGATATTTCTTTAAATATTTTGTTTTTTTTTAAGGGTGGGGGTCCCTGGCTAATATTGTTTCGGGGGCCGTGGCATGGAAATGTTTGGGAACACCTGATTTAAGGGTTACTGTTTACAGTTCAAACTGGGGGGAAAAAAACAGTAAAATGTGTTGTCTTTAATAGTGAAGTTAGCAGTTGATAAATTTGCTGTGTATGACCAGCTACTTTAGACCCTCCTCACTAACAGGGTGGTTTGTTCTTCTCTCTCTGGTTCTGGGGGTTATTCTAGTTAATAAAAAAAACCACTAACATTTGGTCGTGGTTTCTCTTTCCGGTTGTCCTGAATTGTGACCTTTATACTGAAATTACTCCCAAACCATGACTCAGGTGTACCGTTACATCCCTAATAGCTGTACATATGTATTTCTGAGCTCTGGGGAGTTATTGGAAGGACATACTGTGGAAGAATTTAGTGCATGAGATTATGTGGGGGGGCTGAACTGAGCTTCTGGAAAGTTAAAGTTATAAAAACTACTGTGGGTGTTTTTTGCTTTATACTTTAGGCACTCTAAAGGTGACAGGTTACATTTCAAGGTTAGCCCTTCAGTATAAACACTAATATTTAAAGCTGTGTTAGTGTTATTGTTGCACTTTGTATAACCTGGGTACCATTAAAAATGCACCAAGTGTTGACTAATCTATAACTTTAATCGGTGTGGAGAACAGTAAATCAACAGTTGACACTGTTGACAAATGCAACGTTGACACTGCACACAATGGACTTAAGGTGGGAGGTGGGGATACTCAGTGTGTGGATTTGCACATTTGTAAGCAAAAACAGGCTTTACTTCTAATCTTACCAGACAGGAGGTTGTTTGAGGAGCCGTAACCAATGCCTTTTATTAAGTTTCGACTGGGCCCCACCACTGCCCAGAGACTCCAGAGTAATTATAGGTCCTGCAAAGACAAACAGACAAACATGGACATGAAGTGGAACACCATCTCCAGATATACTAATGAGCAGGAGATGACAACAGGGATGCTATGATAAAGCTGAAACTTCTCCGACCTTCTCCTTTGAGGAGATATTTCCACATGCAGTAGGCCCACAGGACTGACATGAGACCAGAGACATAGAACACGCTCTCCCAGCCGTACAGGTCCAGCATGACGGAACCAGCCCCTCCAATCACCAGAGTACTAAAATAAAAAAAGCAAGGAAGGATGAAGTGCACACAAGTGCAGCTTTTAAACAGCTGGGTATAAATGGTTTAGCTTGCCATGTCCAAAAAGTAACTGCGGTGTCTCAATAAACACAGCTTTAATCACTTTTTAAGCACTTCAGGAAAGTAATTTTCTCCCTAAATATCCCTTACTACAGCACATTTAACTCACCCCAGATAGGAACCGCTACCCACAGTGCTCATAAGGAAGCCTCTTTCACTTTCCACCAYCTTTTGAGAGCACAGACTTGCCAGGGAAGGGTAATGAACTCCTAAAAAACAACACATTTTAAATCAACCAAGATGCCTTGAATAGAACACACATTGATTGCCACCTATATGCCAAAGTTCAAAATAAGGATTCTGCTTAAACTGGTAACGATTGGCGTATGTGTTGCGAATAGGGCTGCCACGATTAGTCGATTAATCGACGGCTAATTGATTATTAAAATAATCTATGACTAATTTAATAATCGATTAATCATTTTTTTTGTTCTTTACTTTGTTTTTCTCTCCAAACTGCTTTGACACCTTCCACTGCCACATCTGCCTTTCTGTCCTTGACACACATGCACAGTAGTGGTAACTGGGGTAGGCCGTGGACGTCACATCATACAGACAGGCTCTGGTATCATGGCTACCTGGCAATGGAGCTCAAAAGTGTGGGATCATTTTAATAAAATGAAAGAGAAACCTGTGCAATGCAATATCTGCAAGGCAGAACTTGCCTTCCACAGCAATTATTTTTTTAGTTAGCATATAGCTAAAATCTAACCATGGTTATATATTAGCAGCTTCTTTCTGGCGCGATACGTTGTATGTTTTATATTCAATTAATGTATGATCCGATTAGTCGATTAATCGAAAAAAATAATCAGTGATTAATTGATTATAAAAATAATCATTTGTGGCAGCCCTAGTTGCGAATAACTCACAGCTGAAAACTAGTTGAGTTATGGCTTTGCTTGTATTTAAAAGGTTGATTAACTGTGGGAGCCAACTTTACACTTTATTAACTCTGAAAGGTAACCACTTGTAGGTATAAACTAGTCAAATGTTTGGACACACCTTCAATGTTATTTCAAGGTGTGTCTGGATTTTTGACTGGTAGTGTGCATCCAGTGGTAACTTTCCCATGAGATATTGTGCTAACAGATAGACAAATGCAAACACACATACCATATGTTACATCATTGCCTGCCTATCATAGCAGGAAGTGGTAATCATGACAAATTAAATAAAAWTTTTTAGAGTATCGGTATCAGTCCGATTTGTAAGACTGGGCCGATATTAAAGTCCAATATTGATTTCCCACTTTTTATCTTAGTGTTTCTGTTTTGGGAGGGGAGATGGTTGGTTGAGCGGCATCTGTTTGATCATAATAGTGATACTGATGCTGCGTAACCAAGAATAACTGAAGTAGGGAGCCATGTCAGAGGTCTGGTCATTTATTTACGGTTTCAAAAAAAGACCAAAGTGTGTTTGTGTGTATATGTATAATATAATTTGTGTGTTTGTGTAATATCGGTAAATATCAGTTATCGGCCATAACAGCAATAATTATATCGGATATCGATATCAGCTGAAATTTTCATATTGGTGCATCCCTAATTCTGGGTAAATGATGACGTGGATAGGTCCTCGGTGTGAGCGAGCTATATCCACCCTGAAGGTTAATCTTGGACAATATCTGATGATTGGCTCTTTAAATGAAACCAGAGAGAGTTGACAGAGAGGAGAAGGTAGAAATGACTCAAGCCTGTAACTGAAAATATAGATGGAGGACAACAGAGCTGCTTCATGGAAGAACCTCAGCTTAGCCTGTTAGCCTTTGCACTAGTGCCAACGCTATATTGCCATATATGTATTAACTCAGCGCTAGCGTGACAAACAAGCTAAACTGAGGTCCTCCATCCATGTTTTCAGTTGCAGGCTGAGTCATTTTTGCATTCCCCTCTCTGTCATGTGGATGGAGGACCTCAGTGACGAGAGGAGAATGT